GTGATGAATTGCAGTTCTTCGCTTCGCAACGCCTTATGGAAAGGGACCTTGCGACGGAGTAGGAGGGGGGGGGGGCAACTTATATTCTCAATAAAAGCTAGCCTTCAATCCCGACAAGAATCTATTAATTTATCCACGAAGCTATTTAAGTGGGCTAATGATATTGTGAAGAATATTACCTTTATATTTTTCGCAACACTTAACAATACTAAGAAAGAGGACTACTGCAACAATGACATAATAAAAAAAACTAGTTGTTTCTAAATGCTCCGCATCATTATACTACTACATAAAACAGCAAACATGTTTTCAAGCAGCTAATTATTTTTCCACTACAAAACTCGAATTCGGATCCTCAGAATGAACAGGCCGACACTTGCCACTACACCACAGAAGCGACGCATTCTAATTTGTTATTAAAGTTGCTTCAAATGGTTTTCAATAACGTTTCTGAATGATCTATTCTTTGCTGAGGTAAAAGAGAATTGTGACAAGAGCATTTCCGCAGGCGTATGTAAAAGTGTGCGAGAAACATTTCTTGGTACATGTATTTGAATGATATTGTAAGAGCATTAATCACTATTTTTATTTTTTATATTATTAGCGTTTCGAAATTCAGACGTAACCAACACTTTGGTTACTAAATAGCACTGGATTTGTTAACACAAAGGTGTTTAAGGTTGAATTTTAGGAATACACAAACTGATTTTCCCAACTTCGCCTAAATCACAAAAATTATTTTAAGACATTTCTTATAAAACATGACATACTTCATCATTCGAAGTGTCTCTGCGAGGCAGAAGATCCTCAACTACATTCACATTTTCACCACAAATCCAAATCAACATTCATTAATTCCGTACCTAATTTCAAAAGGGTCCACTGAAATGAGCTGCACCACGGTGTAATTATAAAATAAATACAGAAGCACTGTAAAATCATACACAATCTATAATGTGAAATCTTAACAACCAATGTAACGTACGTATGTATTCCAAATAATTTTTACATCATTTGCGAATATAATAATATATATATATATATATAATATATATATAATATATATATATTAGAGAGGAGAGAGAGAGAGAGAGAGAGAGAGAGAGAGAGAGAGAGAGAGAGAGAGAGAGAGAGAGAGAGAAGAGAGAGAGAGCGAGAGAGAGAGAGAGATTTATATGGGTTCAATATGAAAGATTAAAATTTAAATATTTTACTTGACAATGAGAATTTCTCATTTAGTAGTACACTTTTTCATAGATTGTTTGATGTTGAGCACGTAATTCAAGCTGAAATTATGTATTGGTGGGGCTGCTCTACATACTATAAAAGGAAAAAGGTATCTTGTGCTGAAGTTCATTGGAATAAGTGCTACGTCATCATACTTGGTTTTGAATTCTTATGTTGTTTGCAATGAGATAATTACCTAGCTGGTTCCACATTTTGCTGTTGGTGAAGAATTTCTTTATCGGAATCAGACCAGATCTTGATTTTGTTATTTTTATGTAATGACCCCAAAGATGTGTAGTGTTTATTCTTAATGTAGACTGTATATCTATGATTTTAGTTCGTATAATTTATTAATTGCAAAATGTAAAAAATAAATTGCAAAAAGATAATATGTAAACAAAATGCAAAAAAATATTTATATTACTCGCGTGACGTTTTTTGAACTTGCATCCTGCTCCCTGGCACAAGAAACAGATGAAGGCAAAATCTCGCAGCGAGCACTGATGACAACATTCCAAACACATCTTTACTGGCGCGAAATATAAACTATTTTCTGTTGAAGAAAACTTCTGCCGTGGTTTTCTCCAAAAAATGTAAAAAAAAAAAAAAAAAAAAATTACCGAAGCAGGTGAAGATCCATCACAGGAGGTATCTCGAACTCCTGAGAAAGTTAGAACGCAAATTAATGAGAGAGTTGCGAAGGCATCACTGATTCTCCAGAGATTGGCATTGCTTCATAAAATCTAATGGCGGATAACGTAACTAATACTCCCATTCTTCCCGCATTTCTTCAACCCATCGTTCAAGAAAAGTTGCGCGAGTAATACTAAAAAATTATAATTGACATTGAAATTGTTTTTCAGTGGGGACAGTGATAAGCATATAGTTACGAAGAACTCTTTGCTGAAGTGATTTTCGTAAATGTAATCCCTATTGGTTTTTTGTTGATATAACGTCATATACTGTTCTTTTATTAGAAATTTCCATTCTTTGGTATTACATGAGTCATATAGTTGAAAATATGCATGGCTCTCGTTAGAACACATTAAATTTAACACCTCTGTGAGACCTTATAAAACGTCTTAAAACAGTCCAAAACATTTACTGTTGCGACTCCCCGATTACTATGCGTATTCAGTGACCAATATCCCTTTCTTGCAAAGAAAACACTAGAAAATACTGAATGCATCGAGACGCCATCATAAATACCCAAACAGTGCGCACCGAACGGACAAGCGAGGAACTAACCTCAAACTGGCTTCAGAAAATTTGCCCAAAAGGCGGTTAGTTAACACACCTGTATATCTTACAACCTCAAAAGGGCCTGCTGCAATGGACTGCACTGATGAGCGCCTCAGTGCAGGTTAGGGCCCCCGAGTGCGCATTGGTTCTGTATCATTGTGCAATTGGAACATGCGCATCATTCTTTGCCCTTGTGTGCTCTAGCGGTTAAATGGAACACGAAAGCTGCCCTGACTGTACACTGACTACGCGGAGTGCGGCGATTGGAAAAAGCTATGAATACCAAGTGTTTATTTCAATTTTCACCCATTCGATTTCGAATATGCATTCAAATGTTTGTATACTAACATTTGTACAATATGGTTTCAATTCCGCATACACTTTAACCCTTTAGAGACACCATCATCAAGATAATACAGATATCGAAAGTCAAACTGACGAAACACGCCCACAACTGGTGCACGCATTTATAAAAATAAATATATCTCAATTTCTAGATCGCGAAAACCACAAATTTAAATTACATTTTGAATTTAAAGTGCTCTCTCAGAACGAAGCCGCTCGCCTTTCACCAAGGAGGTCAGAGTTCGATTCGCGTCGATTCCCGGGCAATCTCATGTGAAATTTGTTCCGACAAACCGAGTTTGGCTGCTTCAAAGGGCTAGTCTGTCAAGTGTCCTAAACCCTACCACTTCCCTTATTCCTTCCCAATCGTAGCAGCTGGGTGGTAACGCAGGAGCTCGTAAGAGAGGCACGTACGCTGAGATATTACCTGGCGGTCCTCTGTCTTCGACGTGACTGGACAGCAGACCAATAAATTAGCGGAGGATTACTCCAAATATTAATAATTAATAAAAAATAGCAAAAACAAAATTAATTTTTAAATCAACAAAACAAAAATCGATATTTTTTAGGGTTGGACCCCCTCCGGCTCCCCTTAACACTATTTGTTATTGGGTTTTCGTTAATGTCAGCAGAATTTTTTTAAGGACACAAAATCACAAAAAAGACAAAATTATGTTACATCTAATCATTTTAGTGAATGTTGTTACATCGTAATAAATATCCCTAATCAGGGTATTTAAATATTAGTTCCACATTTTAAATTTCTCACTAGAATGTGCCTCAGACAAGAGTCAACAGGAAGAGGTTCAAAAGAAATTACAAAATTTTAGAATAATGTGTTTTATTGATCATGCTATTCTTAATATTCCTACAAATAGTATCAGTCAATGACTTCTGGAAACAGATTTACATGAGATTATTGCAGTATTTTTCTGCCTTCACAAGAATAACAAAACAAGTCACAAATACGTTTAAGTATTTAGACAAGTATCAACAAACACCACAAAATTTACATTAAAAATACAAAAAAAAAAATCCAGAAATCGAATGCGAAAATAATATCTAAGAAGCTTTGGAGTATAGAAAAGTATATACATTAACTCAAAATTCAAGAAGAGTGGAAAAAGTAGGCCTGTTATTTTTATGTTTAAACTGGATTTATAAATTGGCTGGTTCAGGCACTACTAAATCTTCTCAATTTCAAATTTAATGAAAAAAAATGACTGTGAAATACCTACAAAAGAAAAGAAATATGAAGGGGACTCACAAGAGACAATAAATCATCATAATAAATCTGCAACATTTCAAATTTTCATATTTTACAATAACAAAAAGAACTTTAAAGAGAACCCAAGTTGCAATTAAAGTTCACGAAAATCGAAAAGTAACACAACAAATATTTTATAATTTCATGATATTTAAAAACGTAATAGAATACAAAGAGTGCTTTGAATATTGAGGGTGCAGCATGGAGGGTTTTGGACATGAATCTTCAAAACTCACTTCACACAGAATTAATTTAGAAGATTTTTGCTTTCATTCTTCAAATGCATTTGGTCTTAAAATGTACATTAAGAAGTGCTTTACAAACAAATCCCTTATCACATAGATGACACACATACGGTCGCTGGCCTGTATGGTATCGTTGGTGAATGACAAGCGTTGAGCGCTGGGTGAATGATTTGCCACAAGTGTCACATGTATACGGGCGTTCTCCAGTATGCACGCGCTCATGAAGCTTCAGATTGCATCGCTTACTGAATGCCTTGCCACAGACATTGCACACATTCGGTTTTTCTCCAGTGTGGATTCGCCTATGGAATTTTAGGTGTTCCTTGTTAGTGAGTGCCTTGCCACATATGTCACAGAGGCACACATTTTCTCCTGTGTGGGATTTCATGTGCAAAGATAGGGACTTCTTGTGAGCAAATATTTTCCCACATGTCTCACATTGATTGATTTTTGGTGGATGTTGGGCATCTGGATGATTTGCTTTCTTATGTGCAGCAAGATACCTTGTATAAGGAAATGCTTTACCACATACATCACATTGAAAAGGTTTTTCACCAGTGTGGAAGTTTCTATGTTCTTCCAACCATGATAGAACAAAAAATCCCTTACCACAAGTCTCACATCTATATTTGAATTCTTCAAAATGTCTCTTTCTATGAGTGTCTAAGGCTGACCTGTAAATTGTGGAATAACCACATACATCACATTCCAACTTATTTTCCCCTGAATGCTTTTTTTTGTGAACTGTTATGTCATATGGTCGCTTAAAGGTTTTATTGCATATATCACATGCGTATGGCCTATCTACAGTATGAACAGCCAAGTGTCTATTTAGATGTTTTTTGGTAGAGAATTTTTTTTCACAAATATTACATTTCAGAACATCTTTTCCATGCTCTTTCATATGCTTATCCAGTTCATCAAATGTTTCAAATGTCACACTACATTCACCACATGTATATGTCTCAACATTTTCTTTTTTCACTTCCTTTTCCAAATTAAAGTTCCATGAATTTGCTTCTAACTCCTTGTGATTTTTTTCTCTAGTATGAGGCTTGTCCACATTTGATACTACTTCCACAGGTTTCTTTTTGGAATATTTACCAGACTTGACATAAGGTCTTTTGGATGGCTTCTTATCATTTGAATTATCTGTTGTCTTCATTTTACTTTCGGGTCCTCTTGAAACACCATGTTGTGTAGTGTACATGTCAATACCATACCTAGAAAGAAGAGAAGTGTAAAATAATTCTTCATTACATAAATTCGATTGTTTTCTTTTGTTCATTACATTAAGCAAAAATACTCTGAAAGTATATATATGCCATTTTTCCACTAACATCATTACATTTAAGAAGATAAATTTTCTGTTTCGTGTGAGAACATCACATAGAAAAATTGAAGAGTTGATTTAAGTTTCAAAGAAGGCTTCAACTTCCATTGAATGAAATGTTAAATAAGGGCAAATTTATTAGAGAAAAAATTGTCCAGTCATATAACAAATACTTGGAATAATTTTATATCAGAAATGCATTCATATGATTCGGGCATCGCACTCAGGTAGAAAATTTGTTCTGCACCCTACACAATAATAATATGAATTTCAATGGGACAAGATGTAAGAGCACAAAACTCATCATTTATTAAGTGATATTCCCTAACTGATAAATAATTCATAACATTTCAATATGTAGTGAAACGTTCATGAAATATTACAATAAATAGCCTTATGGTAAAGAATAAGAAGGAATCGGTTCACTACGGCAATAATATAGCGAACAACAACATGAACTCACAAGTGCTATGGAGTAGTTTTCATAACCTCAAACTTTTAGGGCGAGTTGACGCTTTGTTAGACGTATCAAATTTCATACAAAGGCTGCAGTCTTCGCGATTACCATAAATTATCCTTTAGTCTATCCAAAATTGTATGCCAAAATTATTTTTAATTAATGAATTAAAATGCACTACTCTCATTTGAACTACGAAACAGAAAGTGCTCGGCCTCACCACACATTATTGGCCTTCGTTCACCTATCTCGCGACGTCGAAGACGATTCATTTACGAAAAGGGATATTCACGGCGAAAGAGAACAGGTATATTAATACCCAATCTAAATTTGAAAATTTTTGAAGCTACTTCTCAAGGCGGCTACACACATGCAGCATGCGGCAAATCCCGAGCCACTGCTCGCCGAATCCCGAGTAGTGTGGACGGGTTGCTTGCGATTCGCCGAGCGCCGAACACTCGATGCTCGCACTGCCCACCGCGTGTCGGTCTTCAGGACACATCAAAGGGAGCGAACATTCGCCGAACACATCAGCTGTTCGGGATTGCGCGATTCATTACCTATAAAATATGAATTAGATAAAAAAATATATTTTTTTGTCCATAGTCCGTTCACTGATTGTTCAAGAGGTAAGTTGTATAATTAAAGAAAAAATATAAAGTATAATATGTACTGTAAACATAGATTTTTCGTAGTACCTTAGAGTAATTTCTATTAAAAAATATGTACACAAATATTTTTGATACTAAATTATTACAGTTTTCAGAATTTACGAGTAAAAAACTAAAAAAAAAGAGTTTTAAAGTGAATCTGACAGACGTAACACGACAATTTCGGAGAGAGTATTCTACTGCGTCGGCACCAGCATGCAATGCAAACATTTATCCGGGCCCCCTTTATAAATGTGTACAGCCAACACAAGTAGTGTTAGTTCTTAAAATAAAATAAAAAAAAAATCACCTAAAAACGTGCCCCTTTTTACCCAGGCGGGCCTTATTGTGGGCCCGAACATACTCGTGTAGGATTTGCTAGCTATGTATATGTTGATGAGACATTGTCACAAGAAAAATTATCTGCAGGGGTTATAATTGCATTTCTATAATAAGCAAGTGTTTTACAGTAAAGTATATTCTAAGTCATTCTAGCTAACTATACTTTTCTTTTAAGATATAAATGTGTATATTTCGCAAGATGCAATCAGATTTCTTGGCCTATTATATTACTATCTTGCAACACATATAAAACCAAGAGAGAGACAGAAGATACATGTTCCATTAAAGCATTCTATATCTTCCATTATAGCATTTAGATATTGATAGTGGTTTTCATTTCCAACTATTTCCTCTATCGGCGAATGTTTTCGATTGTGCGACAATCGGTAACATGAAGACACGTTATTTTCTCTTGATGACAATGATTTAAGTTCTACTTTCCGAAATAAACAGATTGATGTCACATCATCAGCTCTGACATGGTGATCAACTCGGGAGTTTTAAAACCAAACGTTTAAGTCGTAACGAACCTCTTAATTGGATAACCACGTCCAGCTGATGATCTGTCATAAGTCACTCTATATAAATCGGACAATTTTACTTTGGATTTCTCTTCTAGCAAAAACTCGACTAATGTGGGCGGCGCCTCACAAATACTGCAATGGAGTCCAGATGGCGTAGCATGAGTAACAACCGCCCGCGGCGGAAGAGAATTTCGCCGCCCCCTTGTTTATGTGGTATTTCAATTTAAAATTCTAAAATATACAGTAATTCTAAGAACGTTTCGGCAAAAACAATCATCATTGTTGTGTATTGTACAGGTTAAAAATAAAAAAATCATCTGAATATGTTTTACGATATAATAATCACATTTATTACAAAAATTCTTACACATATGCCATTTATATTGACATAACAGGTATAGAACCGCTCTATGCCTGTTATATAACACAAATCGATTTGTAATTAAAACTAGAACGATACTGTTACTATTTATATTTTTATTGAAAAATAATATAATTGGTAGAATTAAAAACAAAACGATTGTCTTTAACTAAAGTTTATTCTCTTTTTTTAAGAGCAAAGTCTTTTATTGCACTATCAATGTCTATAGCAACACAAACCTCTCGCTCAATAAACAAGATAGCCAGATTGGTTAGCATTAAAGCACCCGTTGTTGATCATAAATAATTTTGATCAATTTTGCAAAACCTAGTTGGCACACAGTTGGCATAATCCCCAGTTGGCACTGGTTGTGGCAATTGTGAGGAATATTCGGAGCATTAAAGTAATATTGGGCAGAATGTCTTCCAACTTGGATTTCACAATAAATTTTAATTATTCGAGTGGATCCACATTAGTTAATTTATCTTCGTTGTCTATGGCAGCAATAAAAAAACCCGCAGTCGTTCCAGCTTGAAGTCCTGCTCGTCAATTTCGGCAGATGCGTCGTCTAGATTACATTTAGAATCGTCAGAATCAGTAATATAACCAGTATTAGAGACGAAAACTTATCCGCCAAATTATGTAGCTTACAAGAGCATAAAAAAAATGAGAGCCAGTTTTAAGAAAACTTTGAACATGTCACAAGCGCTTCATGTAAAGTACCCCCAAAAATTAATGAATTATTTTCGAAATCTCAGGGCTTCGACTCCGCCCATATCGACAGGGGTTTATTCATCTTGGAAAAAGTGCTACGCATAGTTTAGGCGCTAGTGTGGTTCACAAACACCAGACGGACTGACAGACGGACAAACAGACTGACGTTTCGAAGGGGAAAAAAAATTTCGGTATCAGCGGACCCCGAAACCTGTATTTCCGTTGAAATCTCGAAATCGATCGTCCGCAGCCTTACATAACTTTCTCTATACTACGTACATTACTCCGTATATACGTACGTATACGAGAAAGTAACTAGTGATGCTGCAAAATGGCACAGACTTTCTCGTATTCGTTTTCTATTTTCTTTGCTCTGAGCTAGCTATTCCGACATATATCACACCTGTTAGCTACCATCTAGCGTCGCCGAAAGTACAAAAAATTGTCTCAAGTGTTTGAGTTTCCTAATGGTAGAACCGAAATATTACTTTAAGAATATTATACAAGAGTTAACCTCGTCAAATAATGAAATATTCGTTGAAAACTTTGAGCCGTTTAAAAAAAAGGTGTTTAAGCGTTACTTTCAATGAGAACATGTGAGTTTTCGTGAAACATTATCATATATCATTTAAAGTACTAATATACGCATAAATACATTAAGGTAAAGAAATTGCTGCTAATGCAAATATTAACGAGAAAAAGTAAAAAGAAATTACATTTGTGTTTTTTAACGCAAGTACAGAGCAATATGTCATTTATGACATCGAATAGAGTGCGTTTAGCATTATACCTACCAAAAATTTAAAGAAAATATTTGGAGCCGTTTTTGAGAAAATCTTGTTTTCGTATTTTTTTTTAAATTGCACGCAATATTGCACGAAAACTACTAAAATTTTCGAAAAAATGTACCTGACTTTAATGAAAGAACTCGCTCAGTAGAACTGAAGGAAAAATATTTATCTTCAATTTTTTAATAATAGAAATAAGACGGAAAATTTCGAACTTTTGAAATTTTTGGAAATTTAGAGTTATCAGTGAAAGACCTACCTATGCCATCTTTATAAGTGTATTTTACTATATTCTTTCAATAAATTTAAAGAAAACTTTTGATGCAATTTTTGAGAAAATGTCCCAGGGGCTTCATGTAAAGAACCCCCAGTTTAAAGAATGTTTTTCAGAATCGCAACGCTTGTAGTCGAGCCAGATCGACCGGGAAATATCCAATTTGAGAAAAACCCTACGTATGGTTTAGGCACTATTGGTGTTCACAGTCGGGCGGACGGCAGACAGACGGACGGACCAACGGATGGATGGTCGTTTTTCCGTTAATTGATTTTTCGGTAGCAAGAACTCAAAAATTTGGATTTTGGCTGCAGCACGTGTTATAGGATTTTCCACCCTCAATTTAGCAACTTTGTTTATCCACTTTTTCGTTATAAGGGCCATGCAATAAGAATTTTTCTGCCAAACATTCGCCGTTTTTTCTCCGCAACATTTTGTAACTTTCTCTCTACTGTGTAAAAGCTTTAGCGAGAAAGCAAAAGTGTACTTAACCTTAATGAAATAACTAATTATGCAGAATACATTTTTTTAAGGAGATATCTCTGTCTTAAATTTTCCGAAACGTTCAAACGCTTCATCCTGTTTGGCTCACAAGCGGAAATTCTGCAGGACATTCGGAACTCAAAAAAAGGGGTCACCGATTTGCACACTGCTCAGCAGTATAGCTCAGAAGAAGGCCACAACACGATGGCCAAAACGTCAGCTCAGTCGGCTGAGACGCGACTCAACCCGGACAGCCAAATATCCCAGACAAGCTCAACATTTAGTAATTAATTGTAG